GCTGCGGCCCGGAGCCCTGGGTCCACGTGGCCCCGGAAGCTGCGGGCCGTCAGCACGGGCTGGCTTCGTCCTGGGTTTCAGGGTTGGGTTCTGGAGATCCTGCAGAACGCCGCCCGCGATGCCAGGGCCGCCTATGAGCTCCTGCGGGACTATAGCCTCCTGACCTGGGTCCTGCACGCGCTGGAGGGCAGGTGAGCCCCGTGTGGGCGGGTTCTGGGAGGCCTCTGTCCTTGTCTTGTGGACGGCGGCCACTCTGCATCCTCACGTGGGAGAGGGAGCGAGCTCTGGAGTCTCTCCTGTCACAGGGCACTAATCCCGCTGCGGGCCCCACCCGCCTGACCTCATCTGAGTGCCTGTCCAGCCACAGCCACGTGGGGTTAGGGCTTCCACAGGAACGGGGGGAGGGGCGCAGTCAGCCCAGAGCCGATCTAATTCCTCACCGTCTCCTCATTGGAGGACGGCATCCCGTCCCAGACTGCACTTCTGCGAGGGCTTCCCAGGCTCGCCTTGCTCTCGGACTAGCCAGGGCGGCCAGGCCCTGCTGCGTCCTCAGGAGCATTTCGTTATCTCTGAAGGAGTGCGTCTCAGCACCGGCCGGCGGACACTGCCTGGGGCGGCCGCGTGGCTGTTGGCTGTTGGGAAGGGAGTTCTCATGAAGCCAGCAGCGGCCGCGCTGTGTGAAGTTGGGGTGTGGCAGGCGCCTGCTCCTACTTGGACCCTGTACCCGTGTGGGCTGCGGGGGCTAAGCCAGTGGGACTGTGGGGCTGGGACGCCTGCTGGGCCCCCTCCCTCCGGGTGGGACTGCCCCCGCCTCGTCCTCCACCCCGGGGTCCACCCCCTCGCAGGCGCCGGTGGGAGGGGCTGTGACTGAGCGGCTGTTCGTCCAGGTTCCTGGAGACGCAGCTGCTGTCCAGCATCATCGACCTGCTGCACACCCTGTGGGTGACCAGCCTGGGGGGCAGGGGTGCGGAGGCGGGCAGCCCGCCCGGAACCCAGGAGCCCCCGAAGCTGCTGGCCCTGCACCTGGTCAACGAGTTCCTGTACGTCCTGCTGGCGCTGGCGAAGCACCTGAGGTACGCCCGCCGCCCCCCTCCCTGGGGCCACGGCCGCCCCTCTCACTGTCCGCGGCCACTGCGCCCTCAGCGGTCGGCCTGGTGAGCCGGGCAGAGCTGCTGCCGTGCGGGTGATGCCAGGAAGCCCTGTGGTCGCTGTTTCCCACGTCAGCCTCGTGGGCCTGGGAACTAACGCCTGCTGGGCAGGTCCCTGGGCAGGAGCCCGTCCACCCTGACATCTGAGTCCAGCGTCGGGGGGTTGTTTTGAAGAAAGAATGTGTCTCCGTGACCTCGACCTAAGAAAGTGCCAGTCGTCCCCGACCTGCCTCCGCCGCCCGCTGCCCAGGCTCCTTGTCCCTGCCCCTCCTTGGGAGCGTCAGCATTTCACACACACACACACACGCACTCACACACTCACACACACGTGCGCACGCACACAGTCACACACCCGGGCCCGGGAGAGCTCCGTCCTTCAGTCCTGGGAGGGACATGGCTCTGCGCACGCGCCCTGAGCTGGGACAGGTGTGCTAGTTGGACCCAGAGGTCGGCAGCAAGGCAGCTGTGGCCTCAGCACCGACACCTGCTGGTCAGGAGCAGGCCTCCGTGTGTGTCTGAACCACGTGAGGCAGTGTAGGCCGCACGCTTTTACCTGGGGCCAAGGGCACACTGGTCTCCGAGGGCAGTGAGCGTGCCTGGGGGACACCGGACCCTCGAGCTCTCCGCCCAGCTGTCCATCAGCCGTGGTTTCCGGAGACGTTCTGGCCCTTTCTGCCCCCCGCCCCGCCCCCCAGCACTCGCTTCCTGCCATCCTGGGTGGGTCCGCATGTCGGTTGTAAAGGGAGCAGCTGGTGGGCGGCCTGTGAGCAGCTGGCTCTGGGCGGTGACCGGCCACTGTCCAGGCCGCAGGACGGGGCGGCGTGCTCAGCGCATCCTTCTCCCGCAGGCCCGCCCTGGCCTCCGCGCAGCTGACCAGCTTCTTTGGGGCCCTCAACTCGGTGCTGCGGTACCGGGCCTCCGTGCTGCGGGCCTTCCAGGACCTGGGCCGCTTCACCGTGAACGAGACGGTGCTGTCCACCGCGGACGCACTCCTCCTGCTGCACAAGTGGAGCCTCATCGAGCGGGACGGCGAGCTGCAGGGGGCGCTGCGGGCCGCCGCCGAGAGGCTCCGCGCCCAGGACCTGCTGAGTGCGTGCGGCAGTACCCCCACCCTCTCCCCCCACCCCAGCAGCCCCGTCCTCCCCTCTCTGAGCAGCCTTTCCTTAGCGGGTGAGGCGTAGAGAGCGGGTCCGTGTGGTTGCCTAGAGGGGGCGCAGGGTTTTGGGTCGGCTCTGCCCCACCAGGGAGCCCCTGACTACAGCAGCGGTGCCAACCCCAGTCCAGGGCCAGGGCTCACTGTGCCGGGGCAGCATGGCCTCTGAGCTGCCCCTCTGCCCGCCCCTCCACTGCACCCACCCTGGTCTGCAGGGGACACAGTCCCACCCATCCTCTCTCTCTCACAGAAATGCTCAAGGACAGCAACAAGCCCGCGGCGCCCGCCCGAGCCCGAGGCCCTCGGGGCCGGAGGAGGAGGCCTGGGGAGGTGGAGGAGGCGGCCAGCCCCGAGCTGCAGCCGTCCAGCTTGGAGACGTGCAGGGGCCTCCTGAGGTCCATACTGACCCACTGGGGGCCCGTGTTTCCCGGCCCTGCGCCCACTCAGGGGCCCTCGGACCCAGCCGTCCCCCACAACAAGGCCTCAGGCCCCATGTGCACCGTCGCCGCCCTGGTGGTCAGCTGGGTGCTGCGCGCGGCCACCGAGCACCCGCTCAGCGGGGCGGAGGCTGCGGGCCTCCTGCACTGGCTTCGGGGCCACGTGGTGCGGCAGCCGGAGGTCGTGGCCCAGCTCCTCGGGGACGGTGCGGTGAGGAGTGGCCTGTTCAGGCTGTACAGCCGGCTCTGCACAGACGGGCTGGCGGGGCCCGAGCTCAACGCGGTGATGCTGCCCCTGGCGGCGGCCCTGAGCCCCTCAGGGACCCCCCTCCCCCCGGCTGTGGAGACCCTCCGCCTGGCTTCCCTGGACGACAAGGAGGAAGCCACACGAGGTGATTATGGGGATGCCGTGGGCGGGTGGGGGGTGGGGAGCAGCTCGGCACAGGCTGGGGGACCGTGGGCCTGACCGTGAGGGGGGCCGGGCCTTTGCCTGTGGGAAAGCTTTTAGTGATGCTCATCTCACAGTGGGGGGTGCTCATCTCACAGTGGGGGGTGCCTGCAGGGAGGGGCAGGACTGCCCCTCCCTGCAGGCCAGGGACTTCCCCAAGTGTCCGCCATTTCCTGACCAGAATTACATGCCACCTCGTGGCCAGGTGCGTGTGTGTGTGCACACGAGTGTGTGTGTGTGCGCGCATGAGTGCATGTGTGTATGTGCGTGCACATGAGTGCGTGTGTGTGTGCACATGAGTGCGTGTGTGTGGACTCGCATATACATGTATGCACACAAGTACGGATACCCACAGTTGCCATGTTTGGCGTTCGGCAGGTGCCTAGGAAAGGTTTGCGTGTGCGAGCGAGTGAATAGAGGTGCTGGAGCCTGAAGGAGGGCACGCGGGGCCCCTTCCCAGGACGCAGGGAGCAGGGAGGGGTGGGCAGCCTGCAGGTGGGCTCACCTGGGAGCAGGTGACTGTCCTCATCCGGCCGCAGTTGGGCACTGAGTCTCTGCTTGTCCGGGGAGGGGGGGGAGGGGGGCGAGGTCAGACCAAGAGGAGAGGGGCCTACAACAGCGTTTCCTGCGTCACCAGATAAGACAGGCTCCTCAGGGAGCAGAAGCGATGAACCAGCAGTTACGCGAAGGCAGATGCGTTTGTTTACACACTCGCCCACTCAGTGGCCACAGGAGTGAGCCCGGTTCATCGCGTGTCCGTCCCGCGAGGGTGGGTGACGGGCTATCTGGCCGAGTAGATGGTGTCCTGACGGCCCTGTGTCCTCCCCGCAGCCTCCGCCGCCTTCCTGCTGTCCCTGTACCTCCAGGACGCCTGGCTGGGGGCCCAGCGGCCAGACACCCTCCTCGCCCACGTCCAGATGGTCCGTGAGGCTGCGGCGGACGCACCAGGCAGTGACCAGGAGGCCATCGTCGGGCTCTGCGAGGACATCGCCGCCCTGGCCCCAGACACATGACGCCCTCGCAGGCTCTAGGAGACCAGGGGTGTGTGTAGTGACCAGGGTCCTGGGGGAAAAGCTCGCTTTATTTATTCGGCCAATGAACAGACTGGAGGGCCTGCGTGAGGCGGCCAGCGTGACGGGGCCGTGGGCTCCCTCGGGGCCAGGGGGCCGCACAGCGGTCAGTGGGCCGGCCCTTTTCCATTCCTCGTTCTTAGAGGAAACGCCTCAAAGTGAGTGGCACTGAGCACGCGAGGGCTCCCGGGTAAAGTTAAGCTAAACGGCCACAAATGTGTCACAAAGGAGGTGCCTCAGGCGGTCTCTGTAGGAGTCGGGGCAGAGCTCCGTGTAACTGTCAGGTCAGCTCCTGCCGCCGCTTCTGTTTCCTTAAATCCGTGGGGCTGCTCAGAACCTCGCAGGGTGCAGTCGCCTGACCTCTGCTTAGGGAAGGCAGCCTGTGTTTTTAACTTGATAATAAATGTCTATTTTTGTTAAGTTTTTGCGTTTTGCTTAATTGATGTTAAAAGCTATTTTTATTCCACAGAGACCTGCATGTTTGCGGTCAGGGTTTGACTTTTAGGATCCCTCGTTAATTGGTGTCATCGTTGACGCACGTGGAATGTGGATGAGGCAGTTTCCCGTGTAGTTTAGCCTGTCGCTCAGAGCTCTGCGTGCCCCGCACCCGCACCCCGCACCCCGCACCACAGGGCTCCCGGCTTCGTCACTACAGACCAGCCGGGAACTCAGGGTCGATGCCGTGCGCAGCAGTGATGGCGGAGGCTAGAAAGTGGCAGAGTAGGGATGAGTGAGTGGCTGTTACATCTTTATTTGTGTTTATTCTTTTTCTACGCTTCCGAAGTGAGTGTGGAAGTGAGTAAGCGGCTGGGCACTGAAGCTCTGCCCCGTTGGGGCTGCTCCCCGGCCAGGCCAGGCCAGGCCAGGCCAGGGGGCTGGTGCCGCTGGGACCAGTGCGGGTTCACACGCCCACGGCAGCGCCTCCTGGTGGTGGTTCTTGGCAGCTGTGCTTCTGCTGCTTTCAGGAGGCACGTGTCCAGGTTTGAGCCCCTCGGAGTGGCCGCCGTTCGCTGGTGCAGAACCGTCTCCAGTGGGAGGCCAGCTGGGCTGTGGCCGACATCAGCTGATGCCGTGGGGGTCCCCGTCCAGGGCCCGTTCCCACAGGAGAGCAGGGTGGGCCTGGGGGGCGGTGAGGCGCGAGGCGGAGGGCCCGGATGCCCTGCTGCCTGGCTCGCTGGCTGAGCTGGGTGGGGCTGTCGGGGTCCCCGGGGGGGCCCTGTGGAGCAGCGGGTGCCTCCGGATGCAGAAGGGGAAGCTGACGTGGAGGCCGCAGGGGCACGCAGGGTGGCGCAGGGCGCTGCTCCTGTGGACAGATGGGGGGGTCAGGGCTGCGGAGGACAGTCCTCCCCTGCTCCGTTGGGTTAACAGCTCAGGTGAGATACATTTTACAACGTACAATCGATGAGCTATGGCATATCCATTGAATTCTGCAGCCATCACCACACTATTTTATTATTTTTATTGATGTCAGAGAGGAAGGGAGAGGGAGAGAGATAGAAACGTCCATGATGAGAGAGAATCATGGACTGGCTGCCTCCTGCACACCCCACACTGGGGAGTGAGTCTACAACCCAGGCCTGTGCCCTGACCGGGAATCGAACCGTGACCTCCTGGTTCGTAGGTCAGTGCTTAACCACTGAGCCACACCAGCCAGGCACCACAGTCTGTTTCAGAATATTTTTATCCCCAAAGATGGACCCGTCAGCAACAGCCCTTCTGTCTGCCCTAGAGGTGCCTCTTCTAGACGCTCCCCATCAGACTCCCTGGGCCTCGCGTCCTCAGGCTCCCCACAGGGAGCGGGTGTCGGGGCCTCGTCCTCCTCCGGCAGTGCCTTTGTGGATGTGCGGCTCTTCACCGCGCAGCCCTGAGCCCCCACGCTGCCGCCCGCATGCACCTGGCCCGCACGCACCTGGCCCGCATGCACCTGGCCCCCCCACGCTGCCGCCCGCGCGCACCTGGCCCCCCACGCTGCCGCCCGCGCGCACCTGGTCCGCACGCACCTGGCCGCGGGAGCCCGGCGGGACATGGAGAGCAGGACGAGGAAGAGGAGCACCACGAAGGCGGCCAAGCTTGCCCAGAAGGCGATCACCACTGAGTCTGCAGGAGAGACAGGTGCGTGTGTGACCCACGGGCACCACGCGGGGCGGGCTGGGGAACGGCGAGGGCGATGTCCGTCCTCTGCTGGCCTCTGGGCTGTGGGCAGTGACGGCAGCGGGAAGTGGCTTTGCCCCGAGCCCTGGCCACTGGCTGGTGAAGGGTTGTCTGTCGAGGGGAAGCAGGAATGAATCAGGCAGTGCCAGTGGATGCGCTTTTTTAGCTGCTACTGCTGCTCAGAAGGTGGGTTTCCCACTGGCCAAGGTGGCTCAGTGGTTGAGCATCGACCTGTGAACCAGGAGGTCAGGGCACAGGCCCGGGTTGCGGGCTCCATCCCCAGCAGGGGGCATGCAGGAGGCAGCCGGTGCATATTTCTCTCTCTCCCTCTCCTTTCTCCTCTCACTAAAATCAATGAAAACATCTTCTTTAAAAAGAAGAAGACCGGTTTCCCTGCTCCCTTTCTCCTGGGAGGGAGAAGAAAGGGCCGGGCCGCTCCTGTGACGGGCGGCCTCCCCTCTGAGAGGTCGGCCGGGGCCCGGTGAGCACCGTCAGCGCAGCCCCATCCCGCAGCACTGAGCCCGGAGCGAGAGCTGCGCCGCTGCGCCGAGCCCCTGCCCGCCCAGCAGAGCGCCCCCTCCCGGGAATGTCGCCGAGGCCTCCCTGGCACCCGTTGTGTGAGGAGCTGGGGAGACAGGCCCTCCGTCTGCTGGGCAGGCAGCTGGGCCAACAGGAGGAAAAGGCACGTGTGCAGTGACCCTGTGGCTGTGTGTGTGGCCGGAGGCTAAAGGGGAGGGGGACACCCGGGAGACACCCTAGACCCGCCTGGGGAGAACCGGCAGGTGGGGTGCCATTCCCCACCCAGTTCAGGAACCTGCAGCCAGTGGTATGGGGGCTGCTGTGAGGTGGCAGGGCCTGCGTGGGCGTCTTTGGAATTAAATGGCCACAGGGGAGAGCACGGCCGGCGGGCTCAGGGGGTGAGCATTGACCTGTGAACCAGGAGGTCAGGGTTCGATTCCTGGTCGGGGCACAGGCCCGGGTTGTGGGCTCCATCCCCAGTGGGGGGCGTGCCAGAGGCAGCCGACCCATGATTCTCTCTTATCATTGATGTCTCTCTCTCCCTCTCCCTTCCTCTCTGAAATCAATAAAAACGTGTTCTTAAGCACCCAGGTCAGTTCTGTCAGAGCCTCTAAGGCGGTTCTCCACCTTCCGGCCCTTTAAATACAGTCCCTCATGCTGTGACCCAACCATAACATTATTTCCGTTGCTACTTCATCACTGTCATGTTGCTACTGTGATGAATCGTCATGTAAATATCTGATCTGCAGGATGGGCTTAGGCGACCCCTGTGAAAGGGTCGTTCGCCCGCCAAAGGGGTCGCCACCCACAGGTTGAGAACCACTGCCTAAGGAAACAGCTTCAAAACCTTGGCGGTGGGCACTCTCCCTCCCCCACTCCTCCCCCACCTCCCCTCCCCTTTTCCCACCTCCCCTTCCCCTCCCCCAGCCTCCCCTCCCCCGCCCCACGGGCTGTCTTCTGCCCCTGCCCTGGGTCAGTGTCCCCACCCACCCACCGAGCAGGACTGAGACCTTTCACAGCACAGCCCTGCGGACAAGCCATTGAATCCCGCCAGACCCACAGGGCCAGGAGCTGCTTCCTGGGTGCAGTCCCCTCATCCTGTTCCGCTGAGAAAGGAAGCCGGAAGGAGGGTTCGCTTCCCCCGGGAGGCCCCTCTGCCCCGGGAGGACAGGACGTCCTGGCCCGGCTGGGAGCTCAGCACCAGGGCCTGTTCCCAGGGAGACATGCGGGGCAATGGGAGGCCCAGCCCCAGAGACATCCCTTCTCTCCACCCCCCTCCCCCCACCCCCTTCACTCCCTCCCTGGTTCCTCCCTTCCTTTCTGGGGTGATACTGGCTGGACAGGGGAGTGAGGGGGCACAGTGGGTTGGCAAGAGAAGGCGCTGGGTGGCAGGGTCGGCTGCATGGCATGTTGGGGGATTTCTCATCCGAACTTGGAGGCAGCACCTTCATTCCATTAAGACACTTCCTGTTCACAGGAGGCTCCCATTCGAGTCCCAGGTCCTGGCCGATTAATTCCAAGATTTTCCCCTTCGTGGGGACTCACGCGGGGTCACGGCCCGGGGCTCCGGGTTTGAGTTCTAATGATCTCAGACCACCTGGGGTTTTACATCTCTAAAGCCGTTTCCCCGTCCGTTAGATGGGAGGATAGTGCGTGTCATACAGACTGACACACAGCTTAATACGATGAGATGTAAGTACAGTGCACATGCATAGTTCCCCAGTCACTGGCTGTGAAATGATCTATAAACAGAACTACATTATTCTGTGAAGAGGGTTTGTAGCAAGTGATATCGCTGCATCCTTCTAGCTCACGAGAATAGAAGATGTGCCTTGGCCGGTGTGGCTCAGTGGTTGGAGCGTCAGCCCGCACAGCCAAGGGTCCAGGGTTCAATACCTGGGCTGCAGGTTTGCTCCCCACCCCCGGTTGGGGTGGGTGCAGGAGGCAACCAGCCGATGTGCCTCTCCCATCAGTGTTTCTCTCCCCTGCCCCTTCCCTTCCACTCTCTGAAAAGCAATGGAAGGAATATCCTCATGTGAGGATTAACAACAAGAAAAGTGAGCTGTGAGGGACTGCAGCATAGATTGCTGGTTGTCAGTCCTGTCCGCCCCCCGCATTTCCCTAGTAGCAGAACCCCTGCTGACTGCTGGGCACACGGCTGTCTGGGAGAAAGACGACAGTGTCCAGCCTCCCTTGCAGCTAGGTGTGGCATGTGACAAGGTGCTGGCCAATGAGGTGGACAGTTTCTTGCAGTCTTTCTGCAGGGGCTGTAGGGCCCCTGCTCCGTGTCCCTTCCTATCCTCCTGCATGTTCTCTGCCCAGAGCCTGGCTGTGACGCAGAGCCTGGCGTGGGGCGTGGGCACGGCCCGCGAGGGCAGAGCGAGGAACCGGGCGAGGCTGGTTCCCGAGGGTTTGGGGGGGTGGGGGGGCGCAGCCCAGCACCCGCCCGCAGACGGCTACCTGGGAGAGAAAGCAACTTCTGTTTCACCTGGTGCTCTGTGCGTTGTGACCAATTTTCTGTATTGAATCAGTTAAAAAAAACCTGACTTTTTAAGTAAAAGTACTCAAACTTACAAATCCAAATGCATACTGACCTTCGAAATAGTCCTCCTGTCTCTACCGTAGAATCGTCTCAATGTCCCTAACATGCATGTACTGATCAAGCATTAATAAACACTTACAAATTCTTCTTTCGGAATCACCTTCAGGGACACACCCCCATTTTGCTATGTTATGAGATCATTGTTTACTTTTGACACCCGGGTTGTACTGATTGGCTTAATTTCATTCGCCCGACTAACTTCTTCATGATCCTTAGCTATTTCCCCAAAGCAAATCCACCCTTAAACATATACCTGGGCCCGGACGGTGTGGTTCAGTGGTTGAGCATCGACCTGTGAACCAGGAGGTCACGGTTCGATTCCTGGTCAGGGCACATGCCTGGGTTGTGGGCTCCATCCCCAGCAGGAGGCAGCCGATCAATGATTCTCTCTCCTCATTGATGTTTCTCTCCCTCTCCCTTCCTCTCTGAAATCAATAAAAATATTTTTTAAATAAGGACAGCGATTTCGTTTTGAGCTGGCGGGCAGAGACCATCTCCTCATGAGAAAGTCTCCGGTCCTTGGCGATGCGTTTGCCCTGGACAGATGCGTGTGACTAGTTCATGAAACCCCCGTGGACCCCGACCTCGGGGAGGGCAGAGCCGGTCCCCAGGGCCGGGCCTCTGTTTTGTGTCGGGCTCCTGTGTCTCCTCAGCTGACTTGTTATCTTGCCTGAGAAGCTGGAGTCATCCCAAAGGGTGGCTGACAAAGCCCAGTTACCCAAGAGATCGAGGCTGAAGGGGGGTGAGCCAAAGGCATTAACTCGTCCGGGCGTCCTTCCTGAGACACGAACCATAGAATCGTTAAGTCATACATCTCTGGGGACGGCAAACTAGCTCTCTCCCGAGTCTGCGCACAGACGCAGGAACCCCGAAGCTGCAACGTGAAGACGTTCCCCTCGCTCATCCGAACCCCGGGCCCACGAACCTCCATCAGGCGACCTCTGTTACCGCACGGGTGCCCCCGAGTGTCGGCGTTTCCCAGGTGAGTCCCGGACTCACTCAGGACGATGACAGACACTGTCCCCGCTCATTGATCCCTCCCAGCGCGACCGGGTCCCGGCCACCCGTGAGCTGTCCGGTGGGTGGAGAGAGCCGTGGGGGCCCCAGCCCCGCCCGCTGCCTCCCCGGCCAGGACTCACACTTGTGGGCTCTCAGCTGCTTCTCGTCCACGGGGAGCAGGTCCAGGTAGTCCAGGTAGTACTCGTAGCCGAAGGAGGGCGCTGAGGCGTTGCTGCTGTTGGCCGTGGCCATGGCCGCACTGGCGTGTCCGGCGCTGGGCAGGCCGCGGCGCGATTGGCCAACCGGCCTCTGTGAAGCGGCCAAGTGTGTCTGTGGGTCTTGGGCCCAAGGCCACCCCCGGCTGGAGCCATTGGCTGGAGAAAGGCCGGGGACAGGAGGGGGGAGCCGGGGGGGGGGGGGCTCGCCTGCTGGGCGCACTGGGCCCTCCCTGGCCCCTTCCTGACAAGGCTCCAAAGCAAACAGCTGTGGGCGGAGGCCCGGGCGGCCCCAGTGCTTGAGGGGGGACGGGGGGAGGGGGGACGGGACTGCAGACCCTGGGCCTGGAAAGAGGGGGTGCTGAGTAGAGCTGGGAGGACACCCCTTTCTGCCTTAAGCAGATAAAAAAGTGAAATCCCAAGCGGAGGCCTGGCGCTGCCCTGGGCGCACGCTGAGGCGCTGGAGCAACCGCCATCACTGGCTCAGAGCCATCGTCCGAGGCGGCGACGGCCATGTGGGCCCTGAACTGTGACCTCGCTCATGAACACACGGCATTCACGAAGCCAGAGCAGCCGCCCCTACCCAGTTCCCCTGTTTTATCTAGGCCCCCAGGACCCGCCAGGCAGCTGCCCGGGTTCAGACAGACAGAGGGACGGACGGGGTGGTTTGTCTGGGCCGAGGTCCCACATGATGGGCTGAGCTCTGGGGACACAGGCCCCGCAGGTCACCGGCCCGGCCGAGGTGCGCAGTCAGGGGGCGTCTCCAGGCTGGAGAGGAGCAGGGCGACGTGAGCACTCGGCCTCCGAGTGGGGGAGCCCAAACACAGCATTGGGGCCTCTCCCTCCAGCACCCCACTCCCATGTTCTCCACGCAGGTCACACCGCGGAGGGGAGCGGCATGGACGTGTAGACGGCAGCCAGGAGCTCGGCCTTGCGGGGGGTGAACCTGCAGCGGCCCGTCCACGGGCGACACTCCCCGCACGTGCCGCGGTCAGTAGCTCCGTGAAGGTTAGACCTCAGTGGGCATGTCAGCAGAAATCATTAATCCCACATCTCGGGGGGCAAACTCCCCCGCCCCCTCCGCACACAGACAGAACCCAGAGGCTGCCATGCGAGGCAGTGGGCCTCCCTCCCTGGAGAACCTCAGGAAGCTCCCACCTCCAGCTCCATCACCGCCCCACAGCCCGTGCTCACACCCACGCGAGCACATGCAGACACACCCGTGCGTCCACACAGACACCCACACAGCATGCACACACACATGCACACACGTGCACACACGCAGACACACCTGTGCGTCCACACACAGACACCCACACAGCATGCACACAGACACGCTCATACACATGCATACACTCGTGTGTGCACACCCAGGCATGCACATGCACACATTTACACACCCATGCACACGCACAGAGGCATGTCCTAGGCATGGACTCCTGCGGTTGTGGAGGCTGTGGGCTGGAGGCCTGAGAGCCAGAAGCCGGGTGGGGGTTGCATGGAGTTCACGCTGCTGTTCCTGCTGCTTTTGCAAATGTTTGAAATGGTCTAAGACAGGAATTTATTTTTTAAAAGTCACGCACACCCTACACTTACTTTCATATCCTCCTAGAGGCCCAGTGCATGAATTCGTGCACGGGTGGGGTCAGGCCGGCCCAGCCCCAATCAGCAGATAGGGGCCAGGGCTGTCGGGAGGAGGAGACAGCGGGAGGTTGGCCGGTGGGCCTGCCCCCATCAGAGCCCAATCAGGGCCGGCCGGCTGGGAGGAGGGGCCACAGGTGACTGGCCGGCGGGCCCCGCCCCCAATTGGGGCGGAGGGGCTGCAGGTGAATCAGGGAGGAGCCACAGGCAGGTGTGCCCCACTCCGCCTCTCAGGCAGCGGGGGCGGCGGACTCGCTTTAGACGCACGGTGACGGCCTCGGGGACGAGCTGCTGACAGTCCGGGCGCTTCACTCCCTCAAAGACACCGCCCCTGCGGCCCGCAGCTGCACACCCCGCGGAGGCGTGGCCCCCGCCCGCCCGCAGCCTCCGCGCAAAGCGACGGAAACCTCACGCACGCGCAGCGCCACCAGCCGGGCTAGACCGGCAGCGAGCATGCGCACTAGTGGGCGGCTCGCCGTCCTTCCTCCGCCAGGCCCCGCCCCTGACGCCACGGCCCCGGCTGGGCGTCGGCCGTCTGGCCCCGCCCCCGCCCCGCGCACGCGCACTGGCGCCCCGTCTCCCGTGGTGCCCCGCGGCCGGCTGGTTCGTCGCGATGGCGGGAGCTTCAGCGCAGGAGCGCTGTAGAGGCTGCACCTCCGCCAGCTGCGCGTGCGGCGACCGGGGCGCGTGGAGCGAGCCCTCCCTCCTCAGCCGGCGGCTCTCGGGGGGCTCGCCGGGCCGCCGGCTGCTGGAGCAGTGGACGAGCGCGTGGGGCTCCCCGAGCGGGCCCGCGGCGGACGCGGAGCGGACGCGGAGCGGGGAGGCGGCGGCCGCGCGGGACGAGGACCGGCCGCTCGTGTTCCTGTGCGCCGGATGCCGGCGGCCGCTGGGCGACTCGCTGAGCTGGGTGGCCGGGCCGGAGGCCAGCTGCATCCTGCTGCGCAGTCAGTGGCGGGCCCCGGGGGCCGTGCTGGGCAGGGGGGGGGGGTGCTCCGGGCTGCCAGGGTCGGTGAGAACGGACACCGGGAGGTGCGCTGCCCCGCCCCGTGCGCTCGCGAGTGACAGGTCCCTTCCGTGGCCTCCCGGTCCATCGTCCATGCATCGGTAGCGGTTGGATCAGCATCGTTGTGAGCGTTCGTAAAAAAAACAAAAAAACTAAATTCTAAGCATTTTTTGTAGCCGCCCCGGAGCCCTCCGGGGCAGGCTGATGTGGGACCTTCCGCCCTTCCGCTGCCTGCTTCCCGGGGGTGGGGGGGAGGGGGGGGCCAGCACTGACGTCACAGGTGCATCCGCGGGCGCCCGGCCCTCTGAGTGTCAGGGTTGTTGTTTGTAAAGCGAACCTGCAGGGGGCGCCCCAGGAACCTGGGCGCAGGGCAGTGAGGGGGCTCCTGGCCTCAGTCCCACCCGCAGGCTCCCGCTCCCCTGGCTTGGTTGCTTTCCTCGTGTTTGTTTAGGGGCGCGGCTTACTATGTTTTTTCGGAATTGGTGTAAAAATGGCTGTTCTTCTTGGCTTGTGGGCTTCCAGTTGAAGACTCCTTCCTGGAGTGAGACACTGGGGAGAAGGGCGGACACCGGTGCCCGCAGTGCCCGGGAGCTGTTTGCTGCCCGCTGTTTCCCGGCGGGAGGCGTCGGTTCACGGACAGTGATGGCCAGTCCGGCGGGTGTGGCTCGGGCTGAGCGTCCACCTGTGAACCCGGAGGTCAGGGCACCTGCCTGGGCTGCAGGCTCCATCCCCAGTAGGGGGCGTGCAGGAGGCCGAGCCATGATTCTCTCTCATTGGTGATGTTTCTTTTCTCTCTTCCTCTCGGAAATCAATAAAAAGATATTTTTTAAAAGAAACAGTAATTGCTGCGCCCCTTTTAGTGGTTAAACAGAAGCCTAAGAGCAGACATTTCCATGGTGATTTATTGGGATTAGCCCTTTGATCGTGGGAGTCACTATATGCAGAGGGTGTGAAAGCGGGGACTTGCCCTTGTGGCCCCCGCGTTTGTTCTCATCTGGACTTGCTGGCGGGCTCCCTGCATGGACCAGCTTATTAAACGTGTGAACTGTTAGCACACTGGAGGTTGTAGTGTGTATATGTTAAGCATACATCCTTTTGGTCCACACACACATTCTGAATATTCTCCGTATTAGTGTATACAGATGTACTTCATGGATTTAGCAGGTGCTGTACCCTTGCTGACAGGCAGCACAGCCTGGCGATGGCCCCTCCCTTGTGCGGGTTTGAACCCTGGCCTGCCGCCTACTAGCTGTGTCTCCTTGGGCAAGTTCCTTAGCCTCGCTGCCTCTATTTTCTCTGTAAAATGGGGATTTTACAAATTGATGTAACAAACCCACCCCAGTCCCCAGTGGAAGACAAAATGGACTCTTGGATTAATTTTCATTCCCTCCTGCCCCAGTGTGAGCAAATTGAATTATTTTTACTTTGTCAAGATTCGTAACACGTACGTACTATTCCGTAGCTATAACGTGATCATTAGCTTTTTAAAAAATACTGATTGAAGGGAGGGAGAGAGAGAGAGAGAACGTGGACTTGTTCTTTTACTTATTGATGCGCGCAGCGGTCGATTCTCTTACAGGTGCCCTGACTGTGGCCAGAACCCACAGCCTCCTGTCGGGCGATGCTCTGAGCAGCTGAGCTACGGGCCAGGGCACCACTGAGCTTTAATGTAACATTGACGTGAGCTCGTTTCCCAAGTCCGGGGCTGACTGGCACGCGCAAGCTGAGGAATCGGGTCTCCTTCCCAAGCTGGGGATTTGGTTACAGGCATCACTTGCCCCCCCTTCTGAAGAGCGCTCAGATGGGCTGCTTGGGGGTGTCTCTCGTCTCTGTGCACGAAGGCCGCCCGGCTGAGCGTGCAAGTCGGGGTCCTGCTCGCTGCTGTGGCAGGCCTGGGGCAGCGAGGACTCGGCCTTGGGGCCGGTGTGGCCCAGGAACGGAATGAAGATCAGACTTGACGAGGAAGGCAGGGGCCGACAACGCAGGGCCTTAGGCTGTTGCACGGAATCAGAGTCTCTCCCGGGCAGTGAGGCATGTAAGCCGGCGTGGCCTGGCCTAGATTTTAATTTTGAGGAAGTGATGGAGGGAGGCCTGAGCGTGGAAGGGGGGGTGGGTCGGGGCGCAGTGGTCCAGGCAGGAGGAGGAGAGGAGGCTGGGGCTGGAGGCAGAGCGGTGAGGTGCAACTGACAGGACTTGTCAGCGTCGTGGTGTGGGGAGCAGGATGAGGACAGAGTCAAGGTGACACCCCAGTTCTGGTCTGAGCGCCTGGAGGGTGGAGTGGAATGTGGACTCAGAGGAGATGAAACCGAGATGCTTTGGCCGTTTTAGGTGGGCATCCCCTCCTCATCTCCCACCCCCACCCCCACCCCCGGCTTCAGGGCCTGGGCCCTCGGGGTGAGTCTTGCTTCTTCTCGGGTCAGCTGTGACCCCTCAGTGTCACACAGAGGACCAGGCCTGGAGATGCCCGCATTGGCTTTAGCGTCTTCCCTGGTTTTGATCCCAGTTTCGCTGTGTCTGGCAGGTTCTCGGTGGTCTCTGCATTGAGGTTCCAATTGTTCCACGTTTTACTGTCCATTGAATCTTCCCTCTAACTTGATTCATTTTGTCCATTTGAATGTTTTCTGGGGACATTGCTTTAAACCACCCGCCTGAGAGAGAGACAGAGAGAGACAGAGAGAGAGAGAGAGAGAGACACTTTGGGACTTTGGGCTCTTATTTCTGGTCCTCTGAGTTCCACATTAAAAGTTGAGTTAGAAGTTGTCTAAGTGTCTGTATCTGTTATAACAAACCGCACGGACAAGTTCCTGGTCTGTTTTCTAGGCGTTTCCAGCAACGTTTCTGTGGATAAGGAGCAGATACTGTCCAAACGGGAAAACGAGAATGGCTGGTGAGTGAGGCTCGGTCCACGTGAATGTGGATGTTAAAGAAAACCTTTACTTCTCAAGTAGAATCTCCGAAAAGGTTATTACCCGTGAGGTCACCAGGGATACTCCCCCCGGGATCGATGTGACAGCCCGAGGGACGCACTGGTTCTCGGGTGATGGCAGCCCGTCAGGTTTGCGGGGGGAGAGGGTTGGTTTCTAAAGGCTCACGGGGACCCTCCCTTTCCGGGCTGTGGGGCCTGGTGCTGAGGAAACAGAAAATAAACCGAGAAAAGAAGACACCTGTGTCGTGAGCTCTCAGCCCAGCGCGCCTCCGACCAGCGCCACCCACCGTTCCATGTCAGGGCGCCCGTAGGAAGTGCTGCTGTCACACGGACATACATGCACACACGGACATACATGCATACAGAGACACTTACACGCACACACAGACACACACGGACACATACATGCACACACGGACAGTTACACGCACACATGGGCACATACACGGACACATACATGCACACACGGACAGTTACACGGACACACGGACACATACACACACGGACATATACACGCACACGGACACATACATGCACACACGGACACATACACATGGACACTTGCACACACGGACATACATGCACACAGAGACACTTACACGCACACACGGACACACACACGGACACATACACACGCACATGGCCTGTGGTGGTAAAGAGACAAGGCTATGGCGGGGCCAGAAATGACAGCACAGCCCCTCCCCCTCTGTCCTTTCCCCCTCCCCCCGGGAAGGGACCGCGTCGGGCACCTGCCCCCCCTGCTGTGATGGCACCCTCACACAGCGCATGGGCAGCTGTGCCTGTGTGTGTGTCCCGGAGCCCGTCCCGCTGGTGTTGGTGAAATAGCGTCAGGTGGCACACAGGCCAGTAAACGTCGTGTGTTTTCAGTGCATTTTAAATGCTGGTTTTTCACTGTAGCAACGCTGGGCTGTTGTGGTCAAAGACAGTCTCCTTCAGTGAAAAACTACTCCAAGAGAACGCGATCCCAGCGCAGGCGGGGAGTGTGTGGCTGTAACGAACAGCTTCACCTGGGAAGCCGGCCTTGGGCTCGCTCCCGTCTGTGTCTGGAGAGAGGAAGGCTGGGTGGCCGGGGCTTGGCTGAGGCCACAGGGCCGCTCGGTCGTAGAGCCAGGACGGCGCCGCCTCTTCCTGCCGAGCCCGCCCTCCTGCCTCCCAGCGCTGCTCATCGTGCTGTTGCCTTCCTCATTCCTGTCGCCCCTGCACCTGCTGTGCTGTCCGGGCTGAATGTTTGTCATTTATCGACTCAGAACCTTTATATTCTGCCGGAGGTGTCATTGCTGTGCCTAGACAGTAACTAAGGACAGCGACAAGGAAAACAAGTGTGATTAGCCCGTGGGTGTGGCTCAGCTGGTTGAACGTCACTGGTTCTAGTCCTGGTCAGGGCACATGCCCAGCTTGTGGATTCGACCCCTGCTCAGGGTGTGATGCTTCCCTCTCTCTCTCTCTCTCTCTCTCTCTCTCTCTCTCTCTCCCTCTCTCTCCCTCTCCCCCTTCGCCCCCCCCTCTCTAATATCAGTTTTAAAAAACGTTAGTCAATGCTGGCTGAGGCATGCTGCTGGCTGGCTCTGGGCTGCGGTGTGTGTGCCTTTGTTGCTAGGAGCCTGGAAATGACTGTTCCTCATACCAGCACCTCCCTGTCGTCTCCCTTATGGGTGTGGCTGAGGGCGGAGTCACGAGCAACCTGCTGGGGCAGGTGCCACCTGGTCTGAGCACGTCTCTCCCGCAGCATCCTGGAGACCCTGCGCTGTGCGGGCTGCGCGCTGTCCCTTGGCTACATCTACCGGTGCACGCCCGGCCACCTGGACTACAAGAGGGACCTGTTCTGCCTCGGCGTGGGGGCCACGGAGAGGTGAGTGCGCACGGCCAGCGCTCTGGGCGGCTCGCGAGCAGTCGGTGTGCGGACACCGGTGTCCACCTGTGCGAGCGTGTGTCCAGGTCACCGTTTCTGGCCGCGAAGCCAGTGACGGGAGCGTCAGACGCTGTGAATTGTGCGGAGGAAGCGCCGTGAGAGCATTTCCCAGAGTGACGCCGGCGCAGTGGCTGCTGGGTCGGCTCTGATGGAGCCGGACCGTGGGTTCAGTCCGTTTTGTCTGTTTGATTCCCCCTCAGTGGTCAGCCTCCTCGGACGTCCAGGAGAAATGGGGATTTCACAGCCGGTCGGTAAGGGAGGCCTTGGTGCTCGGTGACATGGGCACCAGGTCCAGCTGCCTGTGTCTCAACCCCGCCTGGCATCGTCCTCGCGCTTCCGAGGGCCAGGAAGGGCCGCCCCCGGGTCTCCAGGCAGCCAGGCGGGCTGGGGCCTGGTGGCAGCTCAGTGTCTTAATGGCCTTCCAGTCCATGAACCGTTTTATAGGAAACACGAAGTTAAATAAATCCGTTGGCCTCACTGTACCTCCGCTCGTCCTGGGCAGGACGCGGCCTCACCACCTTAAAGAAAGACGCCTCTGAGCCTGCGCGTCTGGACAGACGGACGGACGGACGGACAGAACACGTGAGAGAGGAAGTGCCTGGGCTTTGGTCCTCCCGGGTGTTGTCACTCCAGAGGGGTTTCTTAGATTTCCTACTTTTATTACACTTTCTCTTCTAATTATGCTCTGATAAGGGAAACTGGAAAGGCTTCGATAAACATTTTAAACCGGGAGCAGTGCGGGCGCGGCTCGTGCTGCAGGCCTGGCGGGAGCGCAGGTCCCCTGTTTCCACGCGCGCAGAGGCCCAGCGAGCGGGCGCCCTTGGTCCCGTGAGGACGTGACACGGATCCGTGACGAGGGAGGGAGGGGAGGACGCTGTGAAGGCAGGAGCTCTCGGGCTGTGGGGCTGATGCAGGATCGAAAGGGACGCGTCTGTGGAAGGAAGTGAGGGGCGGACTCAGCCCGGGACCCACACGGGCGCTGTTCTGGGCAGAACCCTAAGGCGAGGAGCCTGGTTGGTTTCAGCCGTGGGCGCCCTCCGCCACGGGCACTGACCGTTTCGAAAATCCCTCGGTGCCTCTTCAGTTTCCCGCCTCATCGTCCTTCCTCCAAACAGCTGGTTAGTGCCCGCAGTCCCGCCTCCGTCAGTTTTTAGACCTTTCATCAGCCGGGCTTCCCAGACAGGCCGCGCTGATTCCATCAGAGGAGTGACGGGAGGCTGCTGCAGGGGACGGCAGGCTGTGCTGACTGAGTGCAACGGAGCCCCTTTTCTGGGAGCTCCTGGCCCATCCCCCTCACTGCTGAGAGTTTGTGGGTTCCCGGCTCTGCTGCTACGCCCCTGCCGGCCAGTCCGGCTCTTCACCTTCTCTGGACCGGCGTCTCGGCCCCGGGAGGCCAGCAGGGAGCAGTGAGGTGACTGTGGGAGCTGCCAGGTTTGACCGGACAGATTACTATTCACTAAAATGCCGACGTGGGAGCGCACGTTCCCGGGTGTCACATACAGAAACTTGGCAGCAGGACTTTGAACTGTGAGCGCTAATGCTTTGCCGCCGGCTTATGCCCATCATGCAGGGCCGTCGCATTGGGGGATGTTTAGGACTGTCTGGACCACTCTTGCATGGCGGGAAACGTGATGTTAGGTGGGACAGCTTTCGATGGGCTGGGAACAGAAACAGCTCTGTGTGTTCACTGGGTGCTGACACGTAGTGTAATAGACTTAGAACTGAAACATTGTTCGCGAGCGCAGGCTCAGTACCTGCTCGCTCCGTCTCTAACTCCGTGGTGCAGTTATGTCCTAGGGTCCTCCGAGAAGCAGATCGTGTCGGACGACCAGGCGTTCAGTCTTGAGAGCAGAACGGAAATGGAGAACTCGCTGAAGCAGGTAACTGCCCGCGCTCTGTCGGAGGAGCCCCCCCTCCGCGCTGCTTCTGGTCCCGGCGTCAGAGGCTGTGGTTTGGGGACAAGTTAAGCTAAAGCTCAATCAAAAGAAAGAGGGAAGCCATTTCATGCCAGGCCAGAGGGCACGGCCTCCAGGACGGTCACACGTAGAAATCTCTCTCCGCCACACGGCTCCTCCATTGGACTCGGTTCTCACGGTGGAAGCAGTCGTACTTGCGCATGGTGACCCCTCCTGGCAGAGGCAAGATGGTGAGGAGTGAATAAGAGCTGCCGAGCCCGCCCGTGTGGTTGATCATTGACCTCTGAACCAGGAGGTCACAGTTCGATTCCTGGCCAGGGCCCAGGCCCAGGTGCAGGCTCCATCCCCAGTGGGGGGAGTGCAGGAGGCAGCCGATCGATGTTTCTCTCCCTCTCCTTTTCTCTCTAAAAATAAGTAAAAGCCTATTTTCAACAAAAGAAACCTTTCTTTAAAAAGCTGTCAGTTAGACGTTGAGAACTCTTCATAGGCTTATGTGTTATTTAAATAACATTTAGTTTAAGTGGTTTCACTGATACACATGGAATATCTGTGTAATGCACACATTCAGAAGTTGTATCACTGATGTGTATTCTAATCACTCAGCCATGTCTGATTTCAGTCGCAGTCGTGTGATTGTTAATCCCCTTTTTCGCTGCAACAGATGGAAGATGTTTTGAAAATCTTGCAGACAAAGCTGCGCGACGTGGAAACGAAGTTGTCCTTGGCCAGTTCCAGGTCCCAGCTGCGCCCCTAGTGCCCGCGGCTCCCGCTGAGGTCGCCGTTCTTGCTGCCACTTCCCCGGACGGGGGGCTCTCATTGGCCGGGCACCGGCACCGGGAGTAGCTGTGGACTTGCTGTTGGGCTCTGTTTGATGGTGAAGAGATGACTGTTTCCCGTATTGAGTTTTACACCCGTTTTGTGACACTTGCTGGGAATAGAATGTAGGAGCTTTTGTTCTGATCAGGAACGGCCATGCTTTTCTGACCTGTTTTCTCCTTGTATCAAGTCCGTCTTCAGAGTGTACTTGCCTTGCCGCTCGCCTTCGGTGCTGAGTGAGACGAGTACTGAGTGTCTTTCCGGCCCCGTGCGGCCGGGTCCTCTCTGAAATGCCCGCAGCTCTGGGGAGCGGCAGGCCTCATCTGTCGGGTTGTAAACCTGCCGGGAGCTGAGCAGACGTGCTCATAGTGGAGCCCCAGCTCCTGCTCCTGTGCCGCCTGCCCGCCCGTCGGTGCTTCCAGAGGGAAGCGGTGTCTCCGAGGCGGGTCTGGGGGTTCGTGTCCCGTTTTCCGTGATGTCAGACCTGCAGGGAGCACATGTGGCTCAGTCAGGACGAGAATAAAGATGAAAGCAGCGCTTCGGGGTGATTGTGACGGACTGGATTGTGGCGCGTGAGTTCAGAAACCCACTCCTTCTGCAGGTGGCGTGTGCGTGGCCTGCCCAGGGTGAAGGTCGCCCTCTGTTGGGGTGCGGGTGTGGGAACTCACCTCACCCGCTCTGAAGCTCCCTCATGCTTCTGAGATGACTTAGAGCTGTAACGAAAGTCCTAAGGGGGACGGACCGGCCATCCAGTTACCGCCTCCTGCTGACCAGTGGCCAGTAGCCGCCCGTGTGTGGAGTGAGCGAGCCCTCTGCCTCCTCACGGCTGGGGAGCCTGGGAGCCGGCTGCTGCCACACGTCTCGGGCGCTTGGTGGCACCTTCTCGAAGTGCGTTTGATGAGGGAGAGTCTCGCAGCAAGACCTGCCTGCTTTCCGGGCCGGGGCAGCCGCTGCCTGACACCTTCCCGGCCGCCCCGAGAGGCACGGCGACCTTCCTCAGTGTCCACACGTGACAATGGCCACTTGAGGGTGACTTGTCTCCGTTCCTCGTGCGTGCATGTGGGGTCTGTCCCCGGCCACCAGGCCTGGGCTCACCCTGCCCCTGAGTCCGCGTCCCCAGGACCCGCTGGAGCGAGACGGGAGGTGCTCCCTGCGCCCCAGGGAGAGGCTGGGAGGCCGAGCAGACCCAATGCGTGGCCTCGGCTGTAAGTGCGGGTGAGGACGTCCATGGCTTTTGCCCACGAGTGGGCTCTGCCTCCTCCGCAAACTGTTCCTAAGTTTACACGCTCAGCTGCCGTGTGGGCGTAGCTCTGTGCCATCCGTGTGCACGCACCATCCGGGCACCAGGTGGACAGCATGGGGCCTCCTTGTGGAGGAGGAGGGGGTGGGCAGGTGGGCAGCACGGGGCCTCCTTGTGGAGGGGGCGGGAGTGGGCAGGTGGCGGTGTGACTTGGAAGAAGCTCCCCTCAGCCTGGTTCTCGGGCTGGAGCCGAAGGCAACAGAGTCCCGGTCCAAGCCCAGTTCCCGCTTGATCAGCCGCGTGGCCTGGGGCAGGTCACTGCGTCCCCGGAGCCTGTCTCCCTCCCGGGGAGTCGGGAAGCCTCTGGCTCAGGCCACAGGTCGGCCGGATGACACTGACGGAGCAGCAGCCCCTCTTGCCCACAGTTTCCGTTCCCAGGGTTTCAGTTAACCTGGGGTCCGAGAGTATCGAAGGAAAAAATCCAGAAATAAATCATTTATACGTTTAAATCGCATGCTGTTCTGAGTATGTGATGAAATCTCGTGCTGTCGGCTCCGTCCTGCCCGGACGTGACCCGTCTCCACCCTGGACGCTCGGCCCACTGTCACTAAGTGGCCGTCTCGGTGACCGGGTGCACTGTTGGGGTGTCGCCGTGCTTGTGTTCAAGGCACCCCCATTCCGCCTGATGAGCCCCGTGCAAGGCGGTCACGCTGCAGGTCGACGCCCAGAAGCGGGCAGTGTGTGCGCCTGGGGCTGGGCCCGGGTGAAGCAGCTCACAGGGCCTCTGCATCGCGAGCATCTGCGACTGACGCAGCGCCCACCTTGGACGGAACGTCTGTTGTAGAAACCTGTTCACATGTGACAGCGTGTGAGAGTCACTCTCTAGTGGCTAACTACTGAGCTTTCCTGTCAGAAGTTCAGGCGGGAAAGAACCCACCACTCGCTCTGCCTGTGGCCGTGTGCGGAGCGGAGAGCCGGGGGGCAGTTGGCGGCTTCACCTTCGCCATCGGGAGCGTTTACACCCGAGAGAGCAGGCGCCACAGTCAGGACCCCCCGGGCCGCGGGTGCCCAGCTCATGGCGGTACAGGCTGCCCCTCTCTCCACTGGCTGCACCTGACGCTGAGGAGAGAAACCGCCTTCTCTGCCAACAGCCGCACAGCAGGGTGACATTGTCACTGGATCTAAAGCAAAAGCTGTGTCGTTTGCTTTGGTGACGGAACCATGTTCTCCTCTGGAGAGAGCACAGCACTGCCGCCGGCCCCCGGGATCCACAGGGGCTGCTGGGGGGCCTCGCTCTCCGCTGGAGCTGGTTCTGGGGCGCCCTGGGTGCCACAGCCTCGGGTGCTCACGTCCCTGACATGAAATGGCGTGACCTGCACACGCCCTCCTGTCCATGTCCCTGTGGAGCATCGTGAAGCCTGACGGGGAACTGCTGCGTGGAGACAGGAAGGAGGTCTGCTCGCTCCGCACAGACGCCGCCGCCATGGGCCTGACCCAACGCCCGGCAGCCTCGGCAGCGACTTCTTTCTGTTTCCCACCCGGGGGGCTGAGTCCGGGACCTGGGACTCAGGAGCAGAGGGCTGGCTGCACCCGAAAGCAGGTGGCGAGGTTCCACGTAAAGTCGGTGTCCATACGCCTGCTTCCTCCTGCGCCCGCCCCCCTCCTGCGCCCGCCCCCCTCCTGCGCCCGCCCCCCTCCTGCGCCCGCCCCCCTCCTGCGCCCGCCCCCCTCCTGCGCCCGCCAGATCCCGCAGCCGGGCCTGGGCACAGTGGGAAGCCCGTTGGCAGCCGTTCCTGCCGGGCACTGGCCTGCTCGGCCTTGACGCCTGAAAGTAGAGAAACGGCCGAGTGCAGCGGTGAGGGGCTGGGGTCGTGCTGACCTTGTGAAGAGGGACCCAAGGGAGCTGCCCCCCCTCCCCCCGCCCCGTGAGTGAGTGACGTTCTGCTGCCTATCAAGTCTGTCCTCCTCCCCCCACATCAAGTTAAGAATAAAATATTTTGTATCAAAAATGTTTCCTAAGCAAATACAATGAATTCTTGGAATGGGCGAGGGGTGAGAATGCAACTCCGCCCCCTGATGCGAGAGGATGTGTGTGTGCATCCGCGTGGAAAGGGCACGGGGGGTGCACACCATGCGCCCGGTCAGTGTGTGCCCGGAGGCTGGGAGCATGTGGCGTGGGGAGCCGCCTGCTGCTTTCGTGGTCGGGAAGCCGCGAAGGGAAGCAGAGGCGACCGACCAGAGCAGCTCCTCCTGGGACAGGTCCTGGTGGCGGGAGGCGGCGGGAGGCACCCTCAGGGCCAGGCCCACAGGCCAAGGAGACTCGGTCTCAGGTTCCCGGGCCTGGGTGGGAAGGAGGCACCGGCCTGTGGCCCCTGCATGGGGATCGGACGGGGCAGCCGGGCCACCCACGGGGGGGGGGGGGCCGGGCCTGCCTTCAGCCCCCGGGATCCCCAGCGAGGGGCATGGCTGGGGGGGCTGGGGGGACGACGGGCCGGCCCCGCCCACAGGCTGAGCCACCAGTACCCCAGGTGGTCCCCATGGGCGGTCACGCGGGAGAGGCTGGTGTGGAGGGCGGGCACGCCCCCCTGGGCTCATTCCTCCCACTCCAGTGCCCTCGGCCTGACCCTGCACGGGAGGTGCTGTCACTGGGCCCTGAGCTGGGTTTTCCTGCTCCGTCCACCAGGGGCCGCATGTCACCAGTGGACACGGCCAACGGCTGCCTCATCTCAGCTGGAGTTTGTCCGCTCCTCTGTGACCAAGCTCCTTC